CCGGCTCGGGCTCGGGCTCCGGCTAAGTCTCCCTGCTGGCCCCGCCGTCCGCTCCCCCTGCGCGGAACCTGTCGGTGGTGCTCGTTTCCTGGGATCCTCGGCACCTAGCGGCGCTCGCAGCCTGGGAGGGTTGGAGGAAGAGGGTGACCTCCGCCCCTTTCTCTTCTCTCTCCTCTCCGCCCCCTTTTCCGTGAGCCAGAGACCGACTAAGAGAGACGGAGCTGAGGGCATCGCGCTCGGGTGCTCTGCCCCCCACCACCACCACTCCCCCAGCATCAGAGCTGCTCTCTCGTTGCCTGGCCGCTTGGCGAAAAGTTTTGTTACAAACTCATTTTCAAGCTCCAGGCGCCATCGCTAAGGCTGCAAACTAGGAATCGGGAGAGGTGAGCACAGCTTACCAACAGCTGTCGTGGCAGCGTGTGGGACTGTCACCTTGTAGTTGGCAGACTGAACTCATCCCACATCCAGCTCGAATAGGGTAAAGAAACCAGGTAGAAAGATGGAGACGGTGATGGTGTATTTGAGGAAGGGCTTTGTGGCCGATAGCCTCAGGGAGTTAAAAACGGATTCAAGCCACATGTTGCGAATGGAAACAGTCACTGCTTAGGTTCACTGTCACTTAGAAGGCTGGACTGCCTTTCAAGCTACTAAGTAATGTGAGAAGAGGGAGGGGTGTGAGGTATTCTTAAAGGGCACCTGCAGATAAGGGATTAGTAACATGTTAATTATTTAAAAAGAATTTCTAGTGATATGTTTACCCAAAGAGATATGAACCTAGCAAATATTGTGGGGATCATTTTATGATCAAGTAAAGAAATATCCACTACTTCATTAGAAATTACAATTTGAGCCATTTTAATTCTATAACTGCCTTTTGCTAATATCGTTTTGACCCATCCCTGTTAACTAGGCCGCATTTTCCAGCTAAACACTGTGGGCATCTATCACTGACCTTTGCTCTTTTTATTTTAGTACAATATTGCCACCACCTACAGCAAAAACCAGTGCCACATGGAAATAAACCCTCTTTTCTCCATTCTAAAACCAGAAGGGGCCTCTAAATTCCTGGAAATCGAAAAGGATTATAAAATGCTTATGCAAACTAACATAAATTAGCCGTTAGCTGTATAAAAGAACAATTACAGTTCTCCTCTGTGATAGATATTGAGGTGTGGTTTTTTTTAATGATATGATTATAACTTGTAAAATAAATCATTACTTGTGTATGGTCAGGGAATTAGACAATTTGATTAATCAAATATTTTGGTTAGTAGAGAAATATTATATCTAGATGGCTAGTATCCGAAAAAGAAAAGACTATGTAATAAACCACAGTAAAAAAATGTGAATGGCATAGAGCACTATTCTTTCTTTTAATGATTAATAGCACATAATCATTTAACATTGCAATTATCTGTTTACTTTGTCTCCCCCACTGAACCAAATTTCTGCAGAGATCGTATTCATCTCTCCATCCTCACCTAGGACTATGCCTGGCCACTTATCAAATGTTGTTTTATATAGTTCGATATCTCTCTCTGGGACACTTCACTAACATCAGAGGCTCTATCTAATGGGTAAAAAAAGAAAAAAAATTATCCGTGCACTGTCAAATCATAACATTCATTATGTAATATATTTAAAATATTGATTTGGTTTTTAAAGTACTAGATAAATCCCATTTTTTTAAAAAAAAGAGGATATTTATTTTGCATGTATTCTTGGAGTTCCACTTTTAGAATCCATTCCTTAGTCAAGATACATTTGATCTGAATATCAGTAAAAGATTCTAAAGCACTTACACCTCTTCTCCTCAATATAGAAAGAATATGTTACCATTAGTAGTAATATGGGAAATTAAACAACTAAATATTCTTAAGAGAAAAATACACACACACACACACACACAAGTGCTCAGGTTAGGGAGAAGAGCTAGAGAATCAGCAGATGAGGGAAATAAACAGATCAGTAGTTAATAGATGTTGGGAGAAGGCTGATAAAGTCTTCTGAAAAGCAGTAGTTGGTTTTGTTACTTCTGAGAAGTGGACACTCACATTGAACTATTCATTTATACTTTCAAGTTTCTTGAGCACCTACTTTGTGTCAGGCACTGTTTCTAGGAGGCAGGGGTACAGTTGTGTGAACAAAGCATACCAGCCCCAGCTCTGCATGGCTTCTAGGCCGGAGGAAGGCCCTTAACTTGGGGCATGCATGCATGCTCAAAATTTCCATGTGATTGTACATGTCCAGGGTTCCTTGTGTTAAATGTCAGCCTGTCCACAAGAAGATAGCATACCATGACAGGTGTGTGCGTGGCAATCACCCTCATTCAGGAGATATAGGACACTTTGCTCAGAAGATGTGACACTGAGGTTGAAATAAGAACCATATAAAAATCAAAGGGACTGTTGGAAGTTGATTTTTATAGTTTTAATAAAAATGTCAAGAAAAGCTTTTCCTGAAGTCGCCATAAAGATTAATAGCGGAAACATGCTCTGGTTCGGTAGTAATGAAAATAATAACTCCTTTTGTCTTTTTATTTTTATTATGTAAACATTTGGTACATAAAAAGTAACTTGTGACACATTTAGAAGTCGTAAACTATAATATAAAATAAACACCCATGTATCTACTGCCGGGTGTAAGGACTGCTGAAACAAAGTACCACGAACTGGGTGGATTAAACAATATATATATATTTTTTTTACAGTCTGGAGACTAGAAGTTCAAAAACAAGGTGTTGGCAGGGTTGGTTCCTTCTGCGGGCCATGAGGGAGAATCGTTCCATACACCTTGCAGTCAGACTGATCTAAGTATAAGCTCCAAGATCAGACTGGCCAAGTTCGTGTCCAAGATCCTCCACTTACAACTAGTTTCGTAGCCTTAGGAAATTACTGAAATCTTTTATGCCTTGGTTTTCTCATTTCAACAGTGCATAAAAGAATAATACCCACCTCGTGGGCTTGTTATGAAATTAGGTTAATTCAGTGCTTTGAAGAGTACCTGGTGTATCATTTGTGGTAGAAATGATCATTTCTTTATAAAATGCAAATAAAGATATGTTGGGCTCCAAGTTACAACCATAAAATGGCTTCCCTTTACTCATCATTTTCCCCAAGGAGATTCTCAGAGGCCTCAGTTCAGAAGAGGTTAATTTTTTAAATATCAATTAGGTTTGGGAAAACTGTTAAAACAAATATTAAACAGAATTCTTCACCAAAGAATATTAATAGATACTCATGTGCCCTGTGAATCTTCTGGAAGGGAGAAAATGCTCAGTGGGCCCCACTGGACTGGGTCCCACTGGGAAGCATCGTTTGGGAAGTGCTAGTGTCACCCTAACGATAAACTCTGAATTCCTTCATGTGGTTTTCCAGGCCCTTCCTAATCAACCCATCTCTCCCTCCCCTGGGGCTGAACCCTCATTCCTCACCCCTACAGCTCTATGCCTCAGCAGCACTAACATGCTCAGCTCCTGAAACCTGCCTGTAGGCCTTCTTAAACCCCCTATTTTGAACAATCTTTCTTCACCCCTTCACGCAATGCCTGGCTCCTATTCAGGCTTCATGGCTAGCTCCCCACACATTAGTGTGCTTTCTACACACCATGCAAACTGTATGTCTGCATCACCGTTGTGTTTCCTGCACCTGCACATACTGCGGAGGTACTCAGGAGTGAATGAATGAATGAATGAATGAATGAATGCAAGTAGGCATGCCACGGAGGTGGAAACCTAAGTGCAAAATGTTAAGTAACTTGCCTGATTAGAATGGCAAACACGTGGGACAAAACCAAGTCTTGTTTCACCACAAGCCCTTACACTTACCAACTTTTTGAATTGCCTCTGGGTTTAATAAATCACCAAGTCCTGTCCTTTACACAGAGGGTTTGTTGCTACTAATCCTTCCACCAGAAAAACAGATGCCTGTATTGTTTTTCTTTTAGTGCAATAAGTTTTGCAACAACCCATCTACGCTCTTTCACAACATTCAAGGCCGGCAGTGGCACGGCTTAGCACTAATGTTCTTGTTAACTCTTCATGACAGGAGCAGGATAGAAAGTCTGTGAGGTGGAAAGGAGGGAAAGATTGGAAGGTGGCAGAACAGAATGATAATATTCATTGATTTCCTGTCCTGTACCCAGCACTGTGACAGGTTCTTTTCACGCACACATTAACACCCCCAGGTGGTTATCTTTAT